ATTTTTCATACTTAGTCAATATTTTTACATAAAATAACTTTTCATCTATAATATGAATGCATGAAAGAACCTAAGATCAATCTAGGTAAAAAAATCTTAGATGTTCAATCCACTATGATGTTAAACCCTATTTGGTTTATGTTAAAACTTATTGAAAATTAGTCTTTGGAGCTATGAACTAGCTTGGTTTATATGATTTAATGTTTACTTTTATTTCTAGAAAGACTATAGAAATTATAAGTACCAAAAAAAAATAATCACTAAATTTTAAAGCTAATAACTTTAGCTAGTCTACCCATTGAAAAATTTCTGGTTCCGCCCTTGGAAGCAAAGGACCCACTAATGTTGCTGTTTGGAGCAATTGCTCCCCCAGACAAAGTCTTGGGTTCGATTCCTACTATCCTTGTAGTGTATGTAAATTTAGTATATTATCGCCTCTCTTAATAGAAAAAGAAAAATATTAGAAATTGAGTTTGAAGTTGTGGAAGGAAAAACCTAGAAGAAAGCTTTCAGAAATTGAGTTCGCAAGTTGTGCACCAAACTGAGTTGAGAAGGATGAGAAGTAGAAGTGGAACTAGTTTTACTTGTGAGATCTCCATTTTTCTGTGCATGTGGAATGGTATGAGCTGTGAGCTCACTTATATAGGTGGTTTGAGTTGAAAGAACAACGCAGCCATTGGATAACCATGGATGATTTTTCAATAATTGAAAAGATAGCAGCATACGCAATAGACAAAAAAAAAAAAAAAAAAAGTTCTACAGTATTTTTAGACTTTTCAAAAAATGTTTACAAAAAGAAAGAAGTTTCTTCATAAACAATTATGTAAATGTTGAAGATACTGTTTGGGTATGGTCTAAAATCCAAGTCGAGATCGGGGTCAAGCAACTCCAAGTAGAGGTGGAACCCAACTCCGAGGTCAAGGAAGAATCCAACTCCAAGTCAAGGCGGAACCCAACTCCAAGTCTAGGTGGAAACCCAACTGCAAGGTCAAGGCCGAACCCAACTCCAACTCGAGGAGGAATCCAACTCCAAGTCGAAGTTGAAACCCAACTCCAAATCAAGGTGGAAACCCATTTACGAGGTCAAGGTGAAAACCTAACTCTGAGGTCATAGTGGAAACCAAACTCCAAAAGGGCTAGTCAAACAAGGAGATAATTATTTACAGTGGAAATAAATAAATAGAATGAAAAAAAAAAACCCACAAGTTTGGCTGGCTTGGGCTTGGGGTAGATAATTAGCCAATGTGGACCACAAGCTTGGCTTGGCACAATTAAAATCTCATCAATTAGTCACTTTGATCGAATTAAAGAAGAGTATGATTGTTGGAACTCTATTTCTTCCTAGATGGACACACAGGGATGCTTTGTTCATCCCTGAAAAAGTTACCAGGATCAACTAAGGTCTTAACATGAACAAGTCTCCTAAAGTTATTCCTAAAATACTTCAAACCGCAAATGCTTGCTTCTGCATAGCTTGTATTAACATCTTGTTCCTCCCCAAGTCAAGATCCTTTTAGTTCAAATAGGCAGCTCTTGTGAAACATATGGTGCCATGTCGTTTGCTCATCAAGCCAATATACTTATCAGTTTCCTTGTCATCATCCCAAGCGACCATATACTGGTTTTGAATAGATTTCCTTTTCTGTGTGGGAAAGGAGTTTTTAAATCAGAAATCTCACTCATTTTTCCACCATAAGGAGTCAATATCAGGTAAGCCTTTACTTCAATTAGTGTTTTCCATCAACATTCCAAGCTAGCTTCTGAAATAGTGTTAACACAAGTTTCCTTTCCTAGCACACATGAAAAAATCAACTTCAAAATCTCCTCCTAGCAATTAGCTTCTCCTGCAGTAAATCTATAATTGTGTTCATGATTATATTATTTCAAACCTGAGGTAGATTTCCTGTATCAGTATAAATAGGGACTTTGTGTAATCTATTCAATACAAGGAAATATATTCTCTACATGGTATCATCCTTACCTAGGGTTTCCTACCTCTCCCTTATTCGATCCAATCCTCTCCTTTAGGTCCACCTCATGGCTTCGTCTAAATCCACCGTCTCCCTCCCTAGCCCCAACTCTTCTCATTTTATCAAGCTTACTGACTCCAGCTACCTCCTTTGGCTCTGTCAACTCAAACCCTTTTTAGGCGGTCATGACCTTTAGAAATTTATCGATGGCACTCGTAAACAATCTTCTGCCCAAACCTCCCTTCTACCATCAAAACACCAACAACCACCACTGCCTCCCTCACCCAAACCAATCCCGCCCATGCTCAATGGTACCAACAAGACCAACTCATTGTCAACTACATCACCAGTACACTCTCTAACTCCATTCTCTCTCCTCTCGTCGGTTGCACCTCTACCCGGGATCTTTGGGAGTGTCTCTAATGCCATTTCTCTCAATCCAGTATGGCCAGTGAATCTGCTCTTCGTTTTCAACTCATGGATATGCAAAAAAGCTCTCCACCATTGATGCTTACCTTCGTCATGCTAAGTCCCTTGTCGATTCACTGGCTGCCGTCAATGAACCTGTCTCCCTAAAAGAACTTGTCACCGTTATGCTCTGAGGTTTAGGACCCGATTACAAAATGCTCGTCACGGAAATTCTCAATTTTCCTCCGCTTCCTGACTTTGCCGATCTTCATGCTCGTTTGTTAGCTTTTGATGCATAGGCTTCTCGAATCTCTCCTTATCAAAACACATCCCTAATGGCCACCTAATCTTCTCCTCACACCACCGGCCACACTTCCTTCAATTCCCACCATGGTGGTGGCTCCTCCAGCAACAGGCATGGCGGCTGGCGCGGTCGAGGCTGTGGTGGTTAGGGCAACTTCTTACCTTCCTGGAGTAACCCGTGGAATGGCTCCAAGCAGCCCCAATAGCCTAATCAACTGTGGCCTCCTTTTGCTCCAAGTTCTGGACCTCAAAGCAACTGGCCTTCCTTTCAGCCCCCTTGGGCCTAATCTGCCGCTTCTAGCAAACACTCTGCCTGGCCCAACTCAGCTATTGGTGTCTTGGGACTTGCTTGGTGTACCACCTGCAATACAAATCATAATACTACTCCAACATGTCCCTATCGTTACAATGGCCCAAAATCTTTTCCTTCCTTTGCTAGGGCTCAATTCATGCAGCCACCTGACTCCACTTGGTACCCTAATACAGGTGCCAATCATCACATGACTAGAAATCCTTCTAATCTTCAAAATCAATAGCCATATCAGGGTAATAATTCTGTATTTCTTAGTAATGGAGATTCTCTCTCTATCTCTCATATTGGCTCTCTTCCTCTTCTTTTATGTTCTCACAATTTTTTCTTCAAAATATCTTTTGTCTTCCCTCTCTTCGTACTAATCTTCTCTCATTGCCCGTTTTACTCGTGATAATTTAGTTTTCTTTGTCTTTACTCCGGACTTTTATCAAATCAATGACTTACGTACTAGTTTGTTACTCTTTCAGGGCCCTTCTAAATATGGTCTTTAATTACCCACTTTCCCTCTCCTCTCACTCATCCATTGTCCCCCTCGCCCTTACAATCGTGTACTCTCCTGCTTGGCATCATCGACTTGACCATCCATCCCATCCTGTGCTCTCTCACTTAACGTCATTTCTAGGCTTTAAAGTTTCTCATCATTTATAGCTACTTGAACATGGGAGCCATGAAAAGTGGGAGATTCACTATTATACCTAATATAGGGGCCCAAATTATTTTTAAAAAAAACCTATATGAAATGGACTTTAGAAACACACCCAAAACTCATTTACAACATATCAAAGAGGCTTCTAACTTGTTTTAAATTACAAAACTGCCATCAATTTCTTAAAACAAGCCACACCCCAACACACTCAATAGGGTATCAAAGTAATTTAATAATCAAAAATAAATTTAATACGATCAGCTTTCATTTTTCAGGTTTGTTTATAAAAATTAAAGGTGCAAAGTGTTGAAGGAAAATGTGAACCTCCCAACATAATTTCACCACCAGTAATTAATTAATGGGGTTTTATTATTTCAGATTCGACCCATTCGAGGCGCAAGTCTCTTAATTACAATACCTTGCTTACAAGGGAAAAACCTTTTGATTCCATCATAAAGGAACAAAATGTGTGTGTTTGGTTTTGCAGCTATTCCCAAGTCCAACCTCGGGGTGCCTACGTATCCCTTGTGAGAATCAAGCCACTCATAGTTCAAAGATTCGTAATGAGTAAATGACTCATTGCAAGAGAGGAATTTGAATGAATTTGATTGAGTGTGTTTGAGTGAATTTAGCTGAATACAACAGAGATTCGATATGGAATTGTGTTTGGGATGGTTGCTTCAAGATTGAATCTCTAGATTGCCTACGTACCCTTTCAAAGGGATCAAACCAACGTAGTTCGGAGATGATTTGTGTAAAGGTAGGTATTTGATTTGTGGGAATTTGTTTGATGTAACCAGTGATTCAAATTTGGTTGCGGTTGCGGTTGAGTCTATTGAGATGTTAGACTGCATACGTACCCTTAACGGGATCAAACCGACGTAGTTCCAAATTGATTTAGAAATTAATGGGTAAGTGTGGCCCAATAATTTAGAGTTGGTGTCTTTGAGACGATTTGAAGATTTTCATAGGTAAATGACCTATGGGAAAAATTAGAAATTAATGGGTAAGTGTGGCCCAATAATTTAGAATTTTGTGTCTTTGAAACAACTTGGGGATTTTCATAGGTAAAAGACCTACGGGAAAAATTGGATATTAATGGGCAAGTGTGGCCCACTAATTGAGAGTTTGTGTTTTGAGATTCAAATTTAATCTCATTGGAATTTTCATGGGTAGATGACCCATGGGAAAAATTGGATGTTAATGGGTGAGTGTGGCCCATTAATTGAGAATTTCTGTTTGAGAGATTTGAATTTAATCTCAATGAAATTTTCATGGGTAGAAGACTCATAGGGAAAATTGGATGGTTTTGTACCATTTTTCTTTTTGTCAATGTCCCAGAAAAATAATGAGCAATTTTGATGAACCCACTAATTCTCTACAATTGACATTTGCATTTGGGGAAGTGTTTGGACGACTTTGGTTAGGATAAAACTAGGGATTCAAATTTGGTTGCGGTTGCGTCTAGTGGAATGTTAGACTGCCTACGTACCCTTGACAAGATCAAACTGATGTAGTTCTGACATTTGGAAATTAATGGGTAAGTGTGGCCCACTAATTGAGAATTTGTGTCTTTGGGACAAATTGGAGATTTCCATAGATAGATGACCTATGGGAAAAATTGGAAATTAATGGGTAAGTGTGGCTTACTAATTGAGAATTTCTATTTGAGAGATTTGAATTTAATCTCAATGAAATTTGCATGGGTAGATGACCCGTGAAAAATTTGATGGTTTTGTACCACTTTTCTTGTTGTCAATGTCCAAGAAAAATAATAAGTAGTTTCAATTATCCCATTAATTTTTCCTATAATTGACAATTGCATTTGGGAAGGTGTTTTGACAAAATTTGGTTAAGATAAACAAGGGATTTAAATTTGGTTGCGGTTGCTTCTATTGGGATGTTAGACTGCCCATGTACCCTTGACGGGATCAAACCGACATAGTTCCAACATTTGGAAATTAATGGGTAAGTGTGGCCCACTAATTGAGAATTTGTGTCTTTGGGACAAATTGGAGATTTCCATAGATAGATGACCTATGGGAAAATTTGGAAATTAATGGGTAAGTGTGGCCCACTAATTGAGAATTTGTGTCTTTGGGACAAATTGGAGATTTCCATAGATAGATGACCTATGGGAAAAATTGGAAATTAATGAGTAAGTGTGGCCCACTAATTGAGAATTTCTGTTTGAGAGATTTGAATTTAATCTCAATGAAATTTGCATGGGTAGATGACCCGTGAAAAATTGGATGGTTTTATACCACTTTTCTTGTTGTCAATGTCCAAGAAAAATAATGAGTAATTTCAATTATCCCATTAATTTTTCCTATAATTAACAATTGCACTTGGGAAGGTGTTTTGGCAAAATTTGTTTAAGATAAAACAGGGATTTAAATTTGGTTGCGGTTGCGTCTATTGGGATGTTAGACTGACTATGTACCCTTGACGAGATCAAACCGACGTAGTTCCAACATTTGGAAATTAATGGGTAAGTGTGGCCCACTAATTGAGAATTTCTGTTTGAGAGATTTGAATTTAATCTCACTGAAATTTGCATGAGTAGATAACCCGTGAAAAATTGGATGGTTTTGTACCACTTTTCTAGTTGTCAATGTCCAAGAAAAATAATGAGTAATTTCAATTATCCCATTAATTTTTCCTATAATTGACAATTGCACTTGGGAAGGTGTTTTGCCAAAATTATGTTAAGATAAACCGGGGATTTAAATTTGGTTGCGGTTGTGTCTATTGGGATGTTAGACTGCCTATGTACCATTGACGGGATCAAACCGACGTAGTTCCAACATTTGGAAATTAAGAAGTAAGTGTGGCCCATTTCTGTTTGAGAGTTTTGGAATTAATCTCAATGAAATTTGCATGGGTAGATGACCCATGGGAAATTGGATGGTTTTGTACCATTTTGGGCCTCCATAAATTTAATGAGTATTTATCTAATCACTCATTAAATATTTTGGGTTTTTGGGAATTAATGGGAATTTTTTTTTTTTTTTAATAGCCCAATAATCTGCTTCCGGGCCTTTGGTATTTTGACTGACACACGAACAAGGAGTCCATGTTAGAAAAACGTTGGTACCCAACAGCGAATTGAAGCCAAAACAGCAGCTGTTAAGAGAATTTGGCTCCCAGCTTTTCACTCCCAGATTTATCTGGTACACTTGTGATGATTGAAACTACCATGACAATCCCCGCAGATTGAATGTTTGTTTGAGATGGTTGAAGGCATCGTAGAGACCCACGGGTCTCGCTTGCTATTTGGGATGCTTAAGGCATCGTGAAGTGATGGAGCACAGGATGTGTGATACGTAAAAGGAAAAGAATAATGCTACTCTTACCACATTTGTATACCACATTATCATACCACCTTATGTGGCAGCTGAGGTGGACAGCCACATCAATTAAAATGATTTAATATTTTCTTTTCTTTTATGGTTTATTCCAATATTTGTTTTTCTAATTGCCTTAATTAAAATGCACTTCATTGATTTAATTGATGTGGCATATAAAATGGACATGTCACATCATGTGGTATAGAAATGTGGGATAAAAATGTGGTAAGTGTAACATTACTCAAAGGAAAAGGACAGAAGTTGAAAAGGGCATAAATGAGTAAATTATATATTCTTGTCTACTATAGTCTAAGACCTTTGGTCCTTTAATACAAAATGATATCAGATAAGGACAAGAATAGGAATAGTGCCACGTTGCTAGCTATCTAACGGATATACCCAGTATTCT